GACACATGGGCCGATGCTACGCTGTTATCTGTATTGCACATTCTAAATGTGTTGGAGTTCTTTTTTTTTCAAAAAAAATGAATGATTGGTCCCTCGACGAAGTTACGCCAGCTTTGGTTCACCAAATCAGGCAATTCCACCGAGCAAAGTACGACTGAGGATGATTTTTCTGCCTCGGATGTTCAGCCTAATAACAGACAAATCGGTCGCATGGCCAAAAAACTTCCACTGAGAAGACGTTCACAACAGATGTTTTTTGTGGCTCTGTTTTTTGTGGAAAAGTGAAATTGCTCTGCGATTTAAAGCGGCCAAAATAGATTAGCAATTTGAGAGGCATTTAAGTTACCTAATTCTAAATGATCTCATTCCGGTTTTCTGGCTATAAACGTAAACGAGAAAAGAATTTCGGAATCGTTGATCAAAACAGCATTCGAAAGGACATTGTGAGTGGAATCGTCAAAGTCACCAAAATTGAAGTAGGAGCTACAGAAAAGAGGAATGCGATTGGTGAGGAGGTGGGTTGTTCTCGACTTCTTGGGGTTAAATGCATTCGCAGTGGAGGACAAAAAATCGTTTTCTCGAATCGACTGTACAACGCCAGTAGCCGTTTTAGCAGAAATCGTGGCTGTTGACGCATGTAGGAAGCATATTCTGTCACACTGATTGTTCAGCATACCTCGCCTTAAGATTATCATTTATGACCTTCATTCTGGCAAGAGTTTAGCACTAAACGCAAGTCTGTTGCTAGTTAAATATATCGTGGGGAAGAGATGATGAAGCAGAAGACTCATCCCTCTATTCTGATGACATTTGTGTAAAATGGCGCTGCTTCTTTTTTAATACAGGAAGTGCTAACTTCACCTTGGAAACGACACTGCCATTCATTTTATCCTACTGTCAACATATGGCATCACTTTAATCTACAGTACTCATTGTCTGCCCAGGACGCACCTCCAAACGACAGGAGATATTGGGCTCTTGGAAGTGGGCTAAAGTCAAGTGACCTGCTCCATTTTTTTTGCCAAGCATTTAGATTAGACATCGTCTTAACAACTTTGAATGTGATTAAGTCAACCCGAATAAGCACGTCTAAGAGGAGTAAATCAACTCTGTCATCAGATGTCGACCTTTCATGGGACTGGGAGGCACCCAAAACTTGGAGATCCTCCGATTTCTGGTACTACAGTCGACTCAAAGTAACACGCGTGTCTGCAAATGGGAGCGAAGCTTGAGGCGGGGTAGTGATGAGTTCCACTTAGTGTCAACAGAACGGAAAATCGATAAGAGGGCACTGGAGAGAGGACGAAACCTAGGCTCGCACCCGTGTTGTCGACGTCAAGCCAAAGGCGAATTGCATTAGGAGCGCTCAGAAGAGAACAAACAAAAGCGTAAGCCGAAACTACAGCAAAGTATGTGTAGATGTAGCATTGCCATCACTCCCCAATTGGCAGTCTTACAGCGTTTGTGCCAAGAAAGCTGAAATTTTTTTGAAAAGTATCGGGTGCTACTTACGATTTTTACAAATCCTCTTACCTATTAATTTGCTTTTAGGGAATACTTACTCGTCTAACTCCTGATTGTAAGAAAGAGGTTGCTAGCTGTTACCATCGCCAAATCAGTCATTTCAGTACCGACAAACATTTCTGTGAGTCGGCGATATAAGCACTGCCCAATTGCTTTGTTCTCCTTCAATCACTGAGACGCCTGCAGGGGTGGCTACAACTCTAGGGAGTGGGAGTCCTTAGCGGGGCTTCGCGTCACGAAACGCGCCAAAAGAGTAAATAAGTGATCCATCTCTCTTTCGAACTGCCATTCTTTATGGAAGGTGGCAATGACTCATACAAAGTGTAATCTAGAATTTAGACTCAACGAAAAGACCATAGACTCTCCAATTTAATATTAATATGATATGCTAACTTGCAGATTACTGACATAGTCATAAGCACCGGAGGCTCAGTCACAGATCCGGCATTTACCACAATCACGTCTAGCACCACTACCAACAAGCTTCAGGGACTCATTAACGTTCACCGAAAGTTGCACACCGTAAACACGACAAACTCGTATGGTCATAGAAGTGCTTCGACGTCTTAGATTAGATCCTCTTCCAAATACACTCTTAAACTTATCATAAACGGCAACAAGCAAGGCTATAAATAATCTATTCCGATTATCGAAAGCTGAAGAAAGTACACAAAAAAAAAGAATAATGATGTATCAAACATTTCTTGGCTTGCCTCATCATGAAGCCAAAGCCATTAAATTCAAATCCGCCTCATGTTTTTTCCCACACTTGGCATTCCTTCCGCCTGGGCAGCAGATATCGGTGCAATAGGTAGCGTCTTCGGGCAGCTTGAAGATTGTACCCTCGTCTTCTTTCTCATCTTCCGTCGCCTGTTTAGTAGGTGGTGTGGTGGTCTCAGAGATTCTACAGAGATCTTCAAGGTGCAACTTGGTGCAACCACTATTAGGTTGGCAGGACAGATCAAGGCAATACTTTATAGATGGCAATGGTGGTTCATACGGTTTAATATCATCAATTTTAAATAATTTTCGACATTGTGGACAACTGAGGAGGCCGTCAACGGATTGAATAGTATCGAAACACTTCCTGCAGTTGAAATGCTGACAATCAGGAGGTACGTAGGGATCAATGGTAAAATCCAAGCAAATGGGACATTCAAATTCAAACATTTCCTATGCTTCGGCAGACTAGCAAATAAACGCCTACAGCACTCAACAGTCAAGGTCGAGCTTGTGTGGTAATATGATTGACACTCTTTAACACTCAACCAATGGTTTGAAAGCTCTTGGCATAAAAGGACTTTCAATTGGTTAAACAAAGAAGTTGGTAATTATCTGTTTCGTTTCTGACACAAATCGGTGCTCGCTGCATTTATGGGAATTCCAGCACAATGGGCTTGCAGT